AGAACACTTTCCCTTGTAAAAAATGTGGCAGGTAAGATGTGTCTCCATGGGGACCGAGGAGGGAGAGTGTTGGTGGTTGGTAGGCGGGTGGTAGGCGGGCAGAAGGAGGAGGTAGTCTGAGCTTTCGCCTTGTCTTCTGATTGGCTCAGAGGGTTTCTAGGGCTGTGATGTCACTCAGCAGAAGAGGGAAGATGGCACTGAATTAGGAACTCGTCTCTGCTTTAGTTGGAGGGTGGGGGGGTAGGCTTAGAGGCATTCGCCTAGTCAGAAAGAGTCCCCCTGCCCCCCGCCCCCCCCCTACACACACACTCTAGCCTGGTGGCCCAGGGGGTGGGGACAGACCTCTTACTTGAGCCCTTCTTGCCTGGCTGCAGGGTGTTCTACAAGGTGAAGAGCCGCAGCGCCCACATGAAGAGCCACGCAGAGCAGGAGAAGAAGGCTGCAGCTCTGAGGCAGAGGGAGAAAGAGGCTGCGGCGGCTGCGGCCGAGGCCGCTGCCTCCCCCCACCAGACGGAAAGCGCTGGAGAGAGGAGCTGAGGCCCAAGGCTCCGCCTGGAGACCCAGGACTGGCCCCTCTGCCTGGGCGCCCGGCTCTCCCTGCACCAGCCTTGTCAAAGTGCGGCAGGCGCCCAGGAACTTACAGAGGGATCGAGGAGAGATCACGTGGACTTTTCTCCGGAAAAACAAATAAGACAATAAAATAAACAGCTCTTTTATTTATAAAGGCCCCAGGAGCAGTGTTAAGGGCTGCAGGATCCAGTTCTCTGTGCATTCGGTCTGTCGGAAGTTGTCCTCTTGTTTTCCTGGAACTATGAGCATCCCTGCTTGCTGGGGCTGCCCTCTGGGAGGGGCTCCAGCCGTTGCCACTGGTGCCTCTCACACTGGTTCCCCTGCTGCTGCGCAGTCTCTTTGCTTCCTCTTCCCCCAGCTCCCCTTGGTCACCATGGAGAGCCAAGCACAAGGTCACCCCCATTGTAGCATTATTCCCCCGCTTCAGAGGCCCTCCCCTGAGCGCTGGAAAAGGGGAGCTCACCCCTGCAATCCGTGTCCAGGCCTAAGCTGGTCCGGCGCTCCTGTCCTCAGAGGCCTCTCCCTTTGCTACTTGCTAGCAGCCTGCTGGGGCTGGAAAGTTTTCTCACATGTTTGGGGAAAGGCCCATGTTCCTGCCCAAGCTCTCAGCCTGCTGGAGGAAGGGGAACTGTGAGGATGGGAGCTGCAGGGCTGGGCCTGAGGGCACTTTAGATAAGCCTTGGCTCTTCCTGCTTCCCACCTTTTTTTGCCAAATACCTTTGGGCCCTAGAGACTGCTAAGGGAGCTTAGCCCAGGCCCAGCCTGCCCCTCCTTGGTGCAGGTTTCCTGCTTGCCTCTGTCCTGGCCTTGGCAGCTGCCACCTAACCCCACCCCACCTGGTCCAGCGCTGATATCCACAGCCCAGCCCCCAGTCCTGCGTGCTGGAGATTTCTGGATCCTTCCCTGGGAGGGGGAGGTCTCCTAACCAGATTGGACAGGAGCCTTCATTCCTTGACTTGTGTCATTTGGGAGCTATTTATTTATTCTTAATATTTAATTTTTAACATCCTCTCAGGGACCAGGGGCCGCCTGCTTTCCAGAGGCCCAAGTGCATTTATCCCAAAACAAGGCACCTTCTTGGCATCCGCGCCACCCCCTGTCCCCAAGACCCTACTGCCCCTCACCACATCGCTCTGGAAGCTCTTGCCAATAGGAATGATAGTGCCTGCTGAAAGAGGGTGGGAAGGTGGAAGGTGTCACACCTAGAGTAGCAGGAGCAAGGGGATCAAAGGCAGTTCTTGTTGCTACCTCTTCTCTAGCTGTACTTGCAAATTGCCTGAGAGGATTGGCTGGAGGCTAGAATTCTGGTTTGTTTCTGGCTTGAAGAAGCCATATTTGGCACGGAGTCACTAGTGAAAAGACTGGAAGATTCTGGAAGCCCCTTCACTTGCCAGTCCCACAGGAGGGCTGAGTTATTTTTCTGATCTTGTCCCTCAACTGTCATTGTGTAAAAGAAGTTCAACGTGAATGCAAGTAAAAGGCAGGCCAACATGTTAGGAAGGAGCCAAAAAGCATTCTGCTAACTCCTGAGGTAGCCGAAAGGCATCGTGTTGGTAGCTGGGGGTAGGGAGAAAGGTTTTGTTTCTCAACTATGCACTATCAGGTATTTTTCAGCATTCATGCATTTATATGGTTCTATAAGATCCCAGCTACAGGAGCAACAAAATTCTCCCCCCAGGCTCCTGGACAACTACCTAGATTTCCAACTTCCCAGTTAATTTCCTCCATGAGCTTCTACAAACTCAGTATCCCAAGATTGCAAACATCTGGCATACCCTCCAGAAATAGGAAGGTAGCAAATTTAGTCTCTCTTCTAAATCACTTGTGTAATATGAGTGCCTTCGCAGCTTTGCCCCAAAGTGCTACTTACGTTTCCCAAGGTTTTTTCTATTTAAATTGTATTTTGTTTCAGGCCTCTTTATGGACATGCTGTAACAAATCTCCTTTGTCTAGAGTGATTCTCCTTTTTCTAAACCCATGGAGACAAGACCAGGTGAATGTAGGCGGAGAAAATAAAAATGGTACCTCTCTGTATTAATCCCACCAGAACGCGGCATTTTAGAAGGAAGGGTTCGTGCTCCAGGATAGATTTATATCTAGAATGCACTGTGAAGTTAACATGCTTAGAGGGCAGATGCAATTGCGGCACGTGACCTGCCAATTAAATAGGTGCAGCCATAGGAGCTGGCATAAGTATACGTCCTTTATGGTGCTTTCTCCCTGTGAACACATTAGGCTCATCTTTAGTTTTTCTTTTCTTTTTTTTTTCTTCTACTCAGCGCTCTTTGCTTTAAGAAGTTGAAAATGACAAACACCTCCAGCTTCATAATGCCCTCCCACACCGTCTCACATAGCCGTCTCCCAGCCTCCATCTGCACTCGGCAAGGGCATGAAACTAACCTAGTGCCTGTATTTCCAGACCATTTCTGAGGTCTCTCACCCACCTGAGGACACAGTGCTTCGGAACTGTCCTCCATGCCTTCAGCAGCCCCCTTCCCAGCGAAGGTACACACCCATCCCTCCTGCCACCCCACCTCCACCCCTGGCACAGAGGTCGTGTGCTGCTTATGTCTAAAGGGATCCCCTATACTTAACTGCCTCAGTGACCTAACCTCTTTCTTCTCATGTGCCAGAGGTTAAGTTGAAGGAGGAATACAACTTATACTCAAGCCCGAACTGTTTAAATACGCTTTCACTGGGGCAGACTGTTCTTGGATGGTATTTATTACCAGACTGGCCAAGCCTATTAGGTTTACAGGAAGTATGCATACTTTTATAAAACAGTTGTATGTCCTCCACTATTTTGCTGTGTTAATCTTTGCCTCTGATAATTTGCAGCTGTTTCGCCTTTTTCTCATTTGTCTCTCAGTTGAAGGCCTTGTTGGAGGGAACAGCACAGGAACAGCCTTGACAGTCTGTAATTATTGTATAAATATTTTAATAGCATATAAATAACTATATTCCTTTTATTTTGAAAAAAAAATGATCAGACACTGCCTTTTGTGTGTTTGCTGCCTGTGGCACCCTTTTTTAAAAAGACTGTTACATATTAAAATAGTGTACATATATATAAATATTACCTCTTTTGCTGTACAGTTGTGATAGACCAGACTGAAGATTTTATTTTTTGTGTGCTTTTTATAAAAAAAATTAATACACTAAAGAAAATCTTGCTGATGTGATTGTAATGTATCTATGTAACTTATTTACTTTTGAATGTTCTTCTGTATCTTTAAACCTTTTATTAAATAAGGTTTTAAAAATTCAGATTTGAATGCTGTGTTCTTTAGGGGAGATTTTCACCATCTGGGATTGACGTAAGTAGGCCTTGTTTTGCTTGCGGGGGATTACTGGACATTTTTGAACCATAAGGATTCTGTTTTATCAGCCCATTGTCAATGATGTCAGAACTGGAGAAATTAACACACCAGCATTTTCCTGGCTACAAAGGTTACTGAATATAAATCTTTTAACAAAATTTTCGAGCAATCTCACTTCACTGTCTCACACAAAAACATGTAAATGGCACTCTTCCAAATTTTAGTTTCATTTGGATGAAATATGGAGGGTGCAGAATGCGATAAGGAAGTCCCGTGGCTGAAGAGGGTGTTTTCATGTCGAACCAGCCACAGTAGACACGTCCGTCTTAACGGACGCATTTTCAACAGTATCATCTTAAACCCACTGTGTTGTTATTATCTTTTAAACGCGGTGCTTTGTTTTTAAAAAAACAAAAACACCTCTGGAAAATATGGAAAAAGAAATGAGCCATCAGAGAAACCAGAGCCCCTGGCTGTCACCATGGCAACCGCTGGACCCC